TATTTGTTGTCTGAGGGCAGAAATTAAGTTTATTAAGCCTACTTTCCTGACACTTCATCTCTCTATTGTGCTCCATACAAAAAATGCTAATCTACTGGAGCCATGTTTAATCACAATAAGCAGCCGATTCAAATTTTATCAATTAATTGACTGGGCGTTATCAGTGGTTATCAGCTGACAGATATGGGCCAGGAGGGGCCTTCTGCGTCACATTAATTGTATTTTAATATCGTGCAGCTTGAATATAAAGTAATTTGTACCTCAAAGCTTTTACCACAGCCATTTCACCCTGCAGCCCAAGACCGGTTACTTACTGAAGCCAAGCAGGGCTGAGCCTGGTCAGTACCTGGATGGGAGACCACTAGGGAACGCTAGGTTGCTGTTGGAAGTGGTGTTAGTGAGGTCAGCAGGGGGTGCTCAACCTGTGGTCTGTGTGAGTCCTAATGCCCCAGTAAAAGTGAAGGGGACACTACACTGTCAGTGGGCACCGTCTTTCAGATGAGATGTTAAACCGAGGTCCTGACTCTCTGTGGTCATTAAAAAATCCCATGGCACTTTTTATGAAAGAGCAGGGGTGTAACCCCGGTGTCCTGGCCAAAGTCCCTCTATTGGCCCTTACAATCATGGCCTCCCAATCATCCCCTTCCACCGAATTGGCTCTATCACTGTCTCTCCACTCCACCAATAGCTGGTGTGTGGTGAGCGCACTGGCGCCGTTGTAATATGGCTGCCGTCACATCATCCAAGTGGATGCTGCCCACTGGTGGAGGTGTGGAGAGACAACACCCCCCCCCCCCCCCCCTCAGGATTGTGAAGCGCTTTGGGTGTATGGCCATACACAATAAATGTGTTATATAAATACACAGTACCAATACACATAAAATTACATACATTACTATGGCACGTTCCCCAGTAAACGGGGTCTAGCAGTGCCCCTGCCTAGCAACATCTGCCATTGTAATGTAGCAAACACACTGGAATTCAGAACCAAAAACCAGCATGTGAACACAGTGCAGTGGGGGAGGGGAGAGGGGTCAATCGAACAAGGCGATCGAACTAAATGTGAAAGCACACTAAGACAGGGACCTGTCACTTGTCACGCACCTACTGGCAGTTTTAGTGTCATAATTATTTATCCATGACAGGCCTAAAACAGCCAGGGTGTTAGCGCAGAAACACAGTCAGCAGAAAAGTCAAGTGTAAGATCCTCACTGAATATTACGCATCTCCACATCTAATAAGCGATGTTGTTGAAAAAGGGAGGCTAATCTGTTTTGATTAAATAATACAATGGCAAATTATTAAGAAAAAATTATGACATAAAAAATAAAGTAGCTTCCGCAATTTAGAAAAGGTGTCTTCAGGGTAGCACAAAAGAGGCAGTGGCTGACCTTTTACATCCCGTTCCATCTGAGTGTGTTAATTAAACTAAAAATGCATTTTCCTTAAAAGCACTGAAGTGTGAGCTTTCAAACTAATTATTTGAGGTTTTGCTTCAGTTGACAGGCTCTCGTGGGATTTCCGTATCAGCTCTTTTCCGCAATTATCTCTGCCATAACTGTGCAAAGTTTTCCTTAAAATTTAAACAGGCTCTAATCCTGATCAAACACTGTAAATGTGGGTGCCTTTGCCCACTTTGAAATCTGATTGGTCTTTAAACTCATTAAGTATTTAAATCTGTCTTCTGTTGCATGGGTAAAATTTTTGGCAAAAGCAAAAATACTTTTTTGTTCATTTTTATGACAATCATTAGAAAAATAAGTAAACATCATGCTTTACATTTCGTAAATTTCATATATTATATACACTCACCAGCCACTTTATAAGGTACACCTTACTAGTACCGGGTAGGTCCTTCTTTAGCCTTCAGAACCGCCTGAGTACTTCATGGCATAAATTCAACAAGGTACAGGAATAATTCCTTAAAGATTTTGGTCCATATTGACATAATAGCTTCATGCAGTTGCAGCAGATTTGTCGGCTGCACATCCATGATGTGAAACTCCCATTCCATTACATCCCAAAGGTGCTCTATTGGATTAAGTTCCGGTGACTGTGCAGGCCATTTGAGTACAGTGAACTCATTGTCATGTTCAGGAAACCAGTCTGAAATGATTCGCGCTTTATGACATGGCGTGTTATCCTGCTGGAAGTATCCATCAGAAGATGGAGACATTGTGGTCATAAAGGGATGGACATGGTCAGCAATAATACTCAGGTAGGCTGTGGCATTGACATAATGCTCAATTGGTACTAATGGGGCCAAAGTGTGCCAAGAATATATCCCCAAACCAATACACCCCACCACCAGCAGCCTGAACTGTTGATACAAAACAGGATGGATCCATGCTTTCATGTTGCTGATGCCAAATTCTGACCCTACCATCCGAATGTCGCAGCAGAAAGCGAGATTCATCAGACCAACATTTTTCCAATCCTCTATTGTCCAATTTTGGTGAGCTTGTGCAAATTGTAGCCTCGGTTTCCTGTTCTTAGTTGATAGGAGTGGCACCCGGTGTGGTCTTCTGCTGCTGTAGCTCATCCGCCTCAAGGTTGGACATGTGGTTATTTGAGTTACTGTTGCCTTTCTATCAACTCGAACCATTCTGGCCATTCTCTTCTGACCTCTGGCATCAACAAGGTATATGCACCCTTAGAACTGCCGCTTACTGTATATTTTTTCTTTTTTGGACCATTCTCTGTAAACCCTAAAGATGGTTGTGTGTAAAAATCCCAGTAGATCAGCAGTTTCTGAAACACTCAGACCAGTCCATCTGGCACCAACTTCCATGCCTCGTTTAAAGTCCCTTAAATCACCTTTCTTCCCCATTCTGATGCTCAGTTTAAACTGCAGCAGACCATCTTGACCATGTCTACATGCCTAAATGAATTAAGTTGCTGCCATGTGATTACAAATCTGCGTTAACGAGCAGTTGGACAGGTGTACCTAATAAAGTGGTCAGTGAGAGTATATAAAAACTTTATTATTAATTAGTAATGCACATTGCTTAGCACTTCATATGCACATCTTTGAGTGGGATTTTCTCAGCATTTAATTTTTTTGAACCCCAGATTCCAGATTTCCAAATAGGTAATTTGATGTTATTTACAAATATATATATATTTAAATTTACACTTATAATTGGTTTTGTAGCCTAAGGTAACAAATATTTCAAATTGGCCGTGGATCAAGTTCTGTGGATGGACAAATCATTTGTTGTTAGTTATAACCTCATGAAATTTGTAATAATTAACCTAATATTTTTTTGAAACACCCAGCACTGCATGATTGACATATCCTGTGGTTTAATAGGATAAAACTAAGGCTGTGTCCTTGGAGGAGTTTTAAAGTGCTTCAATAACTTTTGGGAGCACTTGGTTAAACTTACACCCCCATGAAAGATTGAAAGTCAAATCGAATAAGAATATCTTCAGTAAGTACAAGTACAGGGCAAAGGCATCGACCTTCAGTTTTTTTTTTTTTCTGCATACAGTGCTCAATATTTAACAGCCTGCTCTCTCTCTCTCTCTTGCGAACACACACATTCAGAGTTAGTATTTAGCAGCTCTGTCTGACACACAATGATGGCTGGCCTCTTGCCCTTTTGGAGGGGAAAAAGAGATTAGGTCTGGAATTTGGCCAGAATTGGATACAGCGCTGAGAGAGTAATGATATCTCAACCCTAAAAGCCTGTGCTCATAATCACTCTAAATGAGGACTACGCAAACAAAAACACAAGCTAATATCATGCACAACTACAGACACTAGTTCACACATGCTAATCATCCAACATAACATGCTAACATTAGCAAATATCACCAAGTATCAGTTTAAGTCATTATAAACAAAATGTTCAACCAATAGTACAATGATCAACGTAAACACATACCCATATGCTAGCATGAAAACATGCATTGTTATGTGTGATTATATGTGTATCAGTTAATTCATGTCTGAATTATTAGGAATCATTTTTGTTAAAATTGTCTAAACATATCCATGTTGCTGGCCAAGGCCCAATGTTTAAATCTGGGGTCACCAATCTTGTTCCTGGAGGGCCGGTGTCCCTGCAGGGTTTAGCTCCAACTTGCCTCTACACACCTGCCTGGGTGTTCCAAGTATACCTAGTAAGACCTTAATTAGCTCATTCAGGTGTGTTTGATTAGGGTTGTAGCTAAAATCTGCAGGACTCCTGCCCTCCAGGAACAAGTTTGGTGACCCCTGGTTTAAATAAAACCTACGCCTCCTATTTAGTTTACCAAAGTCCCAAAATACATGAGGTTCTATGGAAACACTAGCATAGACGTTCCTCATAGTAATTAAGCACCACTTTAGTTCGAAATCCATTATATGTTAGTGCACGCATTCACTACATCTTATATAAACTTTATGTATAACACTAGCAACAACTGCTGGAAGACTAATGGCTCTCTCTTTACAATATCCACTCAAATAAGCACAGTGAAAATATTTCAGAGTGAAACTACTTTTTAAATTGTAATATCTACTCAGCATAAGTGCACAGCCCCATTAAGAACATATATAATGCAACAGGAACCGTGCATGTAACCATGCTTCAACAAAGAGAGAAAGACCATTTCTAAAGGCATGGCAGATGAGTGTTTCAAACAGACCCTCTGGGCTACAAAGGGCTAGTTATAAAATATTCAGCATGTTTGTGTACACTCAAACCACCAGTCCAACTTTAACTCCCAACTTGTGCCATGAAACGCTCAGAAACTGGAACAAGTGCTAATGATGTGCAGCAAATATACAGCTTAAGCAAACATTAATACGCAGAATGCATCAGATAATTATGAAGAATAACTGTTGGGATGCAGTTAATCAAGCTAAATGCTGCAATTTACTCCAAAGGTGTAGCATAAACCAATGCATAGATATATAAACAATAGGAATCCAATCAAGAGTAATGGCTTATATGCTGGCATACATACAAGTATAAACAAACCCATTAGTAAGAAGAATATTGAGCTCTTACCTTGGCAAAAAGTACTCCTTTAGCAGCCAGAGCATCTTCGCTGCGCCCATTGGGGAAGCATTCATAATGAGCATCCAATATAGGGTAGCGACTGGCCAACAGGAGACCGCTGTTTAAGAACTTGAATCTGGAGCAACAGCCTTTCCAGCCGTAGCGTCCTACATCGCTCAGTACAAAGGGAAAATAGCGGTGCAACTGCCTCCTGAGCCTATCGGCGGCCCGCCTGTCAAAGACTTCCTGAAGACAGAGGAAGTCAAGGTTGGCTGGGAAGAAGGCAGATATCTCGTGGTCAAAGCCATCGTCTCCATGACGACGTTTGCGTCCTATTGGTCTTTTGAAGACTGAGGTGCGGTGTTGTGAAAGGGTGTTGTTGGGAGATATCCCTCCATCGGCTGCATGGAAGCGAACCAGGGATTCTCGCGAGGCTGTGCGGCTGTCTAGACTACCTGTGTCCCCGTCCCCGGTTTGATGGTTTCCTTTTTCAGCCTCAGCCGGCTCAGAATCAGGAGAGGTGATGCTGATTTGCACTCCAGATGGATGGAGTGGACAATCTTCTGAGTTCTGCATTATGTTGCTATGTACTGGACACTCTGAATCTGAAGACTGGTGCATGGCACAATCAGGAGCATGCTCTTCTTCATTAGGATGGAGAGGGCACTCTGAGGAATTCTGGACTCCAGTGCTGTGGATGGGGCAATCTGAACTTGTACCTCCTGAGGTGTGAATGGGACACTCGGTTAAGGCCTCAGTCTCATTTTCAGTGGTGACTACAGGATCGGGACGATGGTCCAAAGAAGAGGTCCGGCGGAAGCCCTGGGTAGACAAGCTGCAGAAGGATACAGCACTGATTGAAGTATTTGTGGGCGAGTCGATGTATATCTTGATTTGGGGTCTGCTGGCACCGTTCCGAATTCGCTTGCCCACTTCCCTAGCCCGGCGTTGAGTGTCCGCTAGGTTGTTAAAGCGTGCAAGTGAGTCTGGCAGCAAGCAAACGTTGGCACTGCCAAAGCAAAAGCTGCGTCCTTGTGGACGCCACTCAGCAAGTGCTGCCCCAGTTCCAGCCGCAGAGCCCTGCTCCACACCATGCTTGTCTGGTTTCTGGTGAGAGTAGATATAAGGTTTCCTGATGCTCTGCAGTGGTGCCCACAAGAGAAAACCAATGAAGGCAAAGGGTAAGGATGCTAGTAGCAGCACCAGGTAAAGTGGTGTAGAGATCAGAACCCCAAGTGCCAGGAAAGAGCAGGGATCCTGAGAGCGTCTGCGTTTCTCTAGTGATGTTGCTACACAAGAGGCCAATAAGCGATCCAATAGCCAGTAGCAAGGGAAAACAAAGGCCCAAGACAGACCACTCAGAAAGCTGAGGAAGGCACTGGGGTAGGGAGAGGTGTGCAAGACCATTTCTGGCTCACCTTGTAGACCAACTCCCAGCAAAAAAAAAAAAAAAAAAAAACTGTACAAAAAACAACTACAAAGTTAACCCGCCCCCCTGTGGATGGAAGAGGTACACTACATGGTTCTTGGGTCCTCCGCTATAATTGACGTTGGGTATACGTGGCTCCACACCCAACCAATTCCCTCCTTTAATGAGGGTTTGCAAGGCTAGAGTCTCCTGAAGAATCTAATCATGATGACAGCAAAAATCCTCCAGGGATCCAGAATATTCCAGGGACAGAAAGGGAAGGCCTTGTCAGCGCAGAGCCTGCAGACAATCAAAGGGAGGGGGAACAGAATACACAGGCAATCAGATGAAAGTGGAGGATAATGTGCAATCAACAAATTGGATGGCAGTTAAAATTCTAACATTTTAGAAATCATGATGAAGTATAAATAATAATAGCTTTTTCACAGAAAGCAAAGTGTCAGGTCACCAAATGCAGCCTGCTGTGTGGGAATGTAGCTGATAAAAGTGCTCAATTTGCATCTATATTTAAAATTTTCCAATATGTAATTTAAAGCAGTTCATAGTTTGTAAATAAAAGCTCATATAAGACGTCCCTGACCTTATAAAAGCTTCTTAGTTATATTTGTATAAACACATTGTGATTTTTTTATATTCATATTTTAACGAACAAGTGTACCAGATGTGGCTTATTATCCCCAATGACCTTCTGATATTAACAAAGGGAAAATTTGTATAATTACCATTTAAAAAGCTATGACTACACAGGTGTCACTATAAAATATGCTAACTAAGTCTCTTTGTAGAGGGCTGGTGAAATAGGCCGACACAGGCACACGCAAAAAAGGAATAGATTCTGAGTAAGATTAGACTGCAAGACAATTACAGTGATTACTTGTAAGAAAAGAAACAGAAAGATATTCTCTGGCTTTGTTTCAAGGTAGAACCAATTAAATTTGCCTTGTTCTGAAACAAAGACCTCAATAAGGGGATGGTTCTTTACTTTAAACCCTTTATTCACTGCGATTTAGGATTGTTAACTGTTATTAACATAAATATAACTGAAAACAGCATGTAATGGTGATGGCATAAACAAATATTATGCACAAAAGCCTTTGTTTTAAAAGCAACCATTGACTTTTATGTTGAGTTGATGATTGTCGTTTTGCAGCAGATGTTCCTATAGTTGAAACCCTGACCTAAATCATCAAAAGATTCAATACAGATCAAAGAGGGAAGGTCAATCGACGACAGTGCAACCAGGAAATGTATTGTTACAAATGTGGTCATCTTACCCAGTTGGCAGTTGAAGCTAAAGTCAACAAAAAGATTAATAAAAACAGAAAGACCCTAATTGTTGTAAGAACTTAATTTTTGCAAGATAACTGCATAATCTAGATTGCATACAATCAGTTACAACCTACTGTTTACACGTTGTATCTTAAAGAGATAGTGGACACAAAAGTAAACATTTTGTCTTCACCAGTGTTGGGCAATAACGCAATAACTAGTAAGCCGTTTCTATAACGCACTACTTTTGACAGTAACTAATATTGTAAAGCATTACTTTTTAAATAAAGTACTTCCATTATTGTTACAATATGATGCATTTGTCCGTTACTTGGTTAGTTAAATAATTTTGACTGCAGTCTAGCCAACATCTTCCTGTTTACAGCTCTGACGCATTGTGGGATTGGTGGATGCCAACCAACCACTGTTAAGAAGACATGTTGTGTATGAGGTGCCAGACTGGACAAAAGACAAGCAAAAGCAGACATTGAATGTGCCCGAGGTACACCAAGTGTCCGTGCGAGAGAAACCAGGGGCACGCAAAAAAGGCAAAGACCCAATCCCAATTCTACCCCTTAGCCCTTCCCCTTACCCCTACCCCTCGTTTTGCACGTTCATGTCAAGGGGTAGTGGTGTCCCAATTCTCTTTAGCTTGAAGGAGTAAGGCTAAGGGGAAGGGGTGAATACCCCTTCGAACTAAGATTTTTTTAGGCCCACACTCGAAACCAAGGGGTACAAAAATTTCCCAGAATACACCTGCCACAACGACAAATAGTTACAACCGGAAGTAAGGAGAGCCACAAATTAGTATTTTTTTGTCATTATTATGAATTTTTACAACAAACAAACACATGTTTTAATATATTAATAACCGTGTTTGTTTAAAAATAGGTAAAATAAAAACCGCTAAAAATTTTGCAATCTATAATCCATAATCATAACTCCTGTATAGCATTTCCACAACATTCTGACACTCGTTGAACCTTGAATACCCTGTCAGAAAAGTCTAGTTGCTGGGAATGGGCTTTTTACGGTGTCTGCTATAATGTTAATGGTGTGTTTACATAAATAAATATGGCCACTGTGTTAAATGCACAGTTTTACGATCTTATTGTCACAATATATCATTATGATAACATAATATATGCCTTCAGTGATTTTCTGTAAAAAATAAAATAAAATAACACAACTGTAATAACTATATCAGTCGCGCTCGTCTGATCCCATTTGAAGCATGAGATCAAGATGACATATGATGACGTGTGCAGGTGATGTAGGGCTGTCCCAATTCTTAGGGTTAATTTTGAAGCCCTTCCCCTTCACAGTCTGTTTTAAGGGCCAAGGGGAAGGGGTAGAGGTACAAAAATAGAATTGGGATTGGGCCCAAGTGTGCTCTGGAGAGAGACCGAAAGACTATTAACGTTACTAATACTACTATGTTTGCTGTTTCAAATAAATAAGCACACATTTGTTATTTGTTTAACAAAATTTATTAGTTTAGTACACAGTGACACATTTCTGTTATATTTTAGAACAGGTATACATTTTTTTTTTATAGCTGTTATACAACAGCAGATTTTGCACAATATACACAGCTTACTTTCCATAAGTTGCTGACATACCACATTTAATTTGTGGTTACTTTGAACATTGCTCATAGATTTCATTGTTGAGCAGCTGCTATGTTTTTGTCTTGTTTGAAATGCATAAAATCTATGGTAGTCAATAATAAGTTTTTTTGTTTTTTTTTGGTGCTGAGTTTCATCAAATTGATTCTGAATGATAATTTAGATGACTTTCATTTATTTATTTTATAAGGGTTTTGTATTTGCTGTATTTTGTTGCTAGTTTTCATACTCAAGCTGTGAAAGAACATGTTTAAGAGTTAAATACAACAACTTTTATGATGCTGAAGCAACTTTAATTTTGACTTTTTTGTCTCTGAATATATTATTTAGTTGATTTATCACCTTGCATTTTTTGTGCTGCTGGTGTGACCTAAATAAATTAGTGTTTAAAAATGACTTTTTGTTTAAGTCTGTCTAGTGTTTTAGTTGTGAAACTGCAAATTAATTAAAACTGTGAAGCTGATCAACACTATATTTTCCATGACGTTGGAAGAGCATTAATGGAGCATTAAAAAAGTTCTTTAGAAAAAAAAGAAATATTAAAAATTATTTTTAACAGTAATGAATTACTTTTTCCATAAAGTAATTAAGTTACTTTTTGAATGAAATAACTAGTAACTGTAACTAGTTACTATTTTTTAGTAACTAGCACAACACTGGTCATCACATACTCACCCTCGTGTTATTCCAAACACAAAACACTTTGAAACAAAAATGAAAATGCTTCTTTATTGAAAGCTGAGAGATTTTTGGCCTTTATCCACTGGAGTCACATTATATGCTGCTTTTATTGCATTTTAAAGCTTAAAATGTCTGACCCTGTTCGAAAAAGCAATTGTTTCTCACGGGGAAAGGCTGTAAAATAAAAATCTCCATAGCTTCTTGATTAAACACGGCTGTCAGACGAATACAATTTCACAGTGAGTGTTTAGGTTCATAATCCCACAAACCCGGTCATGATCATTCATATGCTCAGTCAGATGCTAGTATTTATACAGGATCCTCAATTACTGCATGGACTGTGAGATCCACTTTCCTGCAGAGTTTAGCTCTAACGCTGATCAAACTCATGCTAGATTCACACGGGGCATCGACATCAGTGTGATTGTCTTGACAACACCCAATTGGACCACAATATAACTAAAAAAAGGTGGGTTTTGGCAGTTAGTTGATAATAAACCAAGTACACACACACTTCATCTCTAGCATTTCGGTAATGCAAGTGTCCATTTTTAATACATGAGATGCCAATTTTCTGATGCAAATTACCATATAGTGCATCTGTACAATGCATTTCAGCAGCCAAAATCGACTACAAAATGTCTGCTTGATTGATCTCGATTAGAAACTCAGAGATATGGATTCAGACAGCAATTAAATCACCACATGACATCGATGTTTATAAAAAAAGGTAATTCATCTGGGGATTTTCACATGACATAGATTAAAATGTACATTCTGGATTCAGATAGCTACTGAATAAAGCCACCAACTACTCCCTGTAAATGGTGAAAATCCCTTAGATCCTCCTGAGAAACAATTACCATCCAAAAAGACCTAAAGTTTCATTAGAGAGGCAGAAATCTCTCAGGTTTCATTAAAACATCTTCATTTGTGTTGCAAAGATGAACAAAGGTCTAATGGGGTTGAAAAGACATGAAGAGTGACCCTTTTAAAATGATATTTCACACAGAAAATTGCTGCAACTTACTCACCCTCAGGTCACCCAAGATGTATGTAAAAAGGATTTTTGCTGAAAATGCGGACCTTGGTGATTCATAAGAAAATAGTCAAGTTTGAGAGTCAAAAAATATGCATTTACAGGCAGGCATCATACAATTGATTAGCAATGGCTACCTCATAATACATTAAGGTCTTGTGAAGTGAAATAATTGTTCTGCGCAAGAAACAAACAGAATTCTTACGTTTAATATGAAAAGTCTAAAAACAAAAGCCTCGTAATAACAGAAATCAAACAGAGAGAACATTTAAGTGGACAACAATACTTTTAATTTTTAACGATTTTAACGATTTTAATACCATTAAGATAATACTTTCATTAAGAGTGGACCATGTAAACATAAATTTTTTCGATAACTTTAATCTAAGGTCATCATCGAACTGAACAAAAAATGAATTAGGACATGGAGGATTTCTATTTCAGTCGCATTATTGAAGTTCAGTACAGACATGTAAACACCGCAATCAAACTATTACCGTTTTGTAGTACTTTTCACCTCATTTTGCGATAGGACACACACGCAGCAGTTGTCAGGCATTTGACAACAAATAAATGAGAATGGCTTCAAGTAAGAGAGCAGATTTTTGGCGCGAGCAGGAAAGCGATGACCATGCTCTTTTCCAACACTTCTGAGTTTGTCA